AGATGATCATACAAGTCATCTTTTAAGTATTTAAACATGAGAAATAAATTTTATGTCAAATATAACTGTCTATATAATGTGCTAGAATGTACAGATTATGGAGCTATCAATTCTAAATAACAAAGAAAAAGATACTCAGTCATATCAAACATAAAGCATGGTCAAGATGCATGAAGTGTTTCAATTTTTTGTTTTTGAGAAAACAGGATTCAGTGTAGTTTAGTTGACATGAACATATGATTAAAGAAGATTATGAGTTTGTAGACACTCTACTGCCAAATGAATCTAACAGTACAGAGTCTAGAAATCGTGAGTGTTCATTGCAATCATTTTTGGATATCATTTGGCAGATAATTATGCAATATATGATTTGTAATTCAATTTGTAATTTAGTAATATATTGATTTAGTAAATAATACATTGGAATAAATTATGATATCTGATCATGTATAATTTACTTTAGTCATGTCATTATACATACGAAACTACCAATTGTCTCATCTTTCAATATTTTAAAATTGATACATCCTTAGTTGTATTCTGAGGGAAATTGTAAATATTTTATTTTATGAAATTTTGCAAGAAATACTACTTTCAAGGAATAAATTACTGACAATAAAGAAATACTTGTTCAACTGGTTTGATCAACACTTTCACTATGTTATCATTTCTAGCAAGGTCAACACAAAAGAAATACATGATCAAACTCTACGAGACTATGTACAGAAAACACTGTAAGTTTCAACTTCAAAACACAAACTATGATTGTGAGCTACAGCGCGAATCAATCATACGCCATAAATCTAGTTGATTAATCTAACTAATTATAAATGTACTAACTAAATTTAAATGAGATCTGAGTCAAATTGTTGTATCTTTATTTTAATTGACGTAAAATTTTGAATAATTGTGAGTACCTGATTTAACATTCGTAAATTTTTAAACATCAACTAGATTTATTTGAATAATCGAATATAGGTTAAATTTTACATTAAATTTTCAAGTTTGAAAATGGAAATTATGAAACTAATTTCAAGCTTAATTTAATTTTAATATTAAATGAAAGCTAATTATTATCTATAAAAATTCAAACCTAATTATAAAAAATGTAGAATTGAAACCTTTTTAGCCTGAAATTTTATTTTATTTCAAATGATTTCAAAATGCTATATTCTAGCTTAAAATTAAAATTAAAATTGCAAACTTACACTAAATGTCACAAATTATGTCTGATAATATAAATTTTGTTCGAAAACTCAAAGTTTTGAATAATTCTTTTACTATCTGAACTGTGAATAAATTTTGATTTGGATAAATTTAGATAAAAACTGTGATCAATTAACTACATCAATTAATTTTTACATGGTTTAAAATGGATATAAAAATAAAATTTTTAATTAAAAAAATCAAGAGATAAAAATTGCGTAAAATATTTATGAACACATAATAGAATAATATATTAATTTTGACATAAAATCACGTAAGCTGATAATTAATCAATTAAAATTAATTGATTGAAAATTGATGATGAGCATAAAAAAATTATATTGAATACCTTAGACAAAAAATCAAGTGAAATTATTTTACAAGAGTTCTAGTACGGAAAAAATAATCTCGTGATAATGTAAATATTATTTCTTTATGGTAAAAAAAATTTAAAAATTTATTTTTATAAAACTTGAATAAATAAAATTAATTAGAATCTTTGAACTTTTCAATCAAAACTTGCTGATCAATAAGACTTAATTATATCGTTCACTTCATTGTGATAATATCATTAGAATTGATAACATCGTGACGAATGTAGAAGATGTGATGAATATCCAAGTATCTTTTTTATTTATACACTGTAGAATGAGAAGAATTGACATTATGATTGTATGATTATGATATGATGTTACGTGTTAAACGTGTGAATCCTTATGACATCCTAGGCTGTTTGAAAGTCAATACTATCAATGTACGATAACCAGTTGTTATATATCCAAGCAAAGCTAAATCGTTTTTTATTTTGCAGATCATGAGTATCGCTATTTTGTCATCTAGATGCTAATTTACTAACCACGATTGGTTACATAGTAAGAAGATGCTGTTCAAATGTTCATATCAAACTATGACTTTGTAAAGATAATGCAAAAGCTATCCTACTACTTCGCCCTAAACCAGTCAAAAATGAGATGAATCACTTTTAAGATGCCTTTATATGTTCGTACTGATTTAATTAAATGTGAGACCAACAAAAAAAAAAACAACACAAAAGTATTTTACTAAGCACAGATTAGTTCACTACCAAGGGAATAAATGACCTAAATAGTCATGCATGTTATTTTTTGTTGGCAATTTAGGGCGATCAAGATTTACGGCTTGTGTTTCGAAGAATTTGTTCGCTCCTTGTTCTCAATCACTTTTGCACTGCAGGCCTCTGGGACTGAAGACTTCCACTGGTGGGAAGAAGAGTTGAAGGCCAATCCCGCGATGTGCACGTACGAAGATGCTGCTATGAACGTGCGATATTGTCAGTGAGGAAAGGCCGAGGCCCGCCGTTAAGGCCCTGGAAGAGAGTGGTTGCAGTCGGGGAGCTCGATCGCTCACGTCGTGTTTGCGGTGTGAACACGCCCTGAGCGGAACTGGCCCTGACTAGGCTCCTGGGTCTCAACCCCGACGTCAACCGCGCCGTACTGTACGTCTGGCCGATGACAACCACGGCGGTACCGTGCTCACCATGGTGAGTGAGAAACTGTGCAAAACCTCCCGCATATTGACAACCCGGTTGGATCGGCCATTCTGATCATCGGGTCGGGACCCTGCCAGCGTTGCGAGTCCCGGTCCTCAGACAGCCTTTCTGAAGAAATCAACGAAGACGGCTCAGTTTGGAATCAGCTCTGAAAATGAAGAAACTTTTTGTCATATGCCCTCTCACACCTTAACCAAGATATCAATCATCCAATAAACATAGCCAAAATGTCACGTGATGAATAACGAATAATGAGAAGACGATTATTCAAAGGAAAAATAAGTAAAAAATATACTGTTCGTCTAACTATTTCTCAAAATTCATGGGTTTATTGAAATCCATGTCTCAGATGTATCAAATTCATTGATTTTAAGAATATCACATTAGTTTAAAATGTAATAATGTTAGTAAATAATCTGATTAAGTCTAGTAAGGTGGCACCTAAAGCGGATAGAAGAGAAATAGAAGCTGCTACAAAATCCAGCTAATAGTATTTTTTTCTGATGAAAACATATCATAGATAAATAAATATCTGAAAAACGTCGTTTTGGCCAAGTCTCCTGAATCTGCAATCCTAATATACACGTATGCAAGACTAGCCTGTCCAAATCACATAATGGCGTTGTTGTTTTGGTCCCGAGTTTCGACTTCGAAGTTTCTTGGATAAGTGGCTGGGAACTTCCAGAAGGTGAAGTTTATCAACGGTGTCCGAGGAACGCAAAAAGGGACAGGGAAACTGCTGCAGATTTTCAATCTGTTCCTTATAAAAGCCAAGACTCATTTGTTAGAACGGCAACCCCAAAAGCTGTTTCCGTTGGATTTCTAGTTCGAATCCAAAAGCAGTATCTTACTTATTAATAATGTCGGATATAATTTTGGAGTTAAAGTTACGGATTGTGCCTCTGATATCGTTTTAGAGTTCCGTTACTCATCAAGAAGCCAAATTTTTTTATCTTGTGAAGAAACCATGCTATTTCCTGACTTTACTCCTTTCGCTTGAATTTTGATGTATATAGGGAGGGATAAATCGTTAAGGGAACTATTAATTCTTTTTAGATTACACTCTAAAGTATATTTGTGACATTGCTTTGAGGCTGTGATCGGGAAAATTTTTATTTTCGGCCCGAAAGTTTTTCGCTCCTTGCTTTTTCAGACAGTATTTTACTATCTTGATGACCGAAATACAAAGTCCCCTCGGGCCATCCATGCCAAGGGAGTGCTAAAACGTGCAAATAAACAAAAAAGTACAAAAAAATTATAAATTTATTCACAGAGCTCCGGGCTCCCCTATATATAACGGGTTTAAATCACATCTGCAACCTACAGCAATCGCATGAAAATGTAAATTATTCATGTTACTCATTAGCAGTTTTACTAATCTTACGATTTATTACATATCTTTTTACTAGCATTGGTTAAGATGTACTTAGAGTATCCGATTATTGCTATAATACTCGAATGACCTCAGTGAGAATCCAGTTACAACGAAAAAAAGTAACGATGTAGAGAAACAGAAACCAGTCGTTCAATTTGGATAAAAAGAATAAATAAATACAAGATGTAGCAAATGCCAGAAGTCCATGAGAAGCATGTCATACGGGATCCCAAACCCACCAGCCGCCCAGGCTTTCTTCATCAAAAGCCCGCCATCTTCCTGGCAACATGCCTGCCTTTAATACACACGGTTTAAGGGCAGGCAACAAATCCAAATCTGAACGTGCAGCATATCATTGAATTGGTTTTCGAAACATCATGCTTATTCCACGTACTATGGGCCAATGTTCTAATGGACACTTGTTTTAGGACGAGATTCTCGTAGCGAACCTGCTAATTTGATTCAAATTGGATTCAGCTGCAGATTGTTGGCTTTATTGGAAAAGGAATATATATATAGATCAAACTTTCTTTCTACTTGCTTTCTTACCCTGAGTAGACAAAGAAATTTTAATTAATCTAACTTTCAATACCCAATAAACAATCTTGTGACGCGATCTAAACTTCGCGAGTAATTTCGGAAGCGAAAACGAGTTAATCTTAACAAAGGGATTGAAACTTGCTCATAAGAACCAAATTAGAAAGCACAAATCCCTTGTGATTCGGTTGTTCAACTACAAACAAAGCTTTTTACACATACAAACAGAATTCTTTCGTTTTCTGCCGCATATGCAAGTTGTTATAGAGTAAGAGATCGAACTAAACATCGAATAATCGTTAAAACTCAGGATCAAACACAATATCAACGTAATATGCGAGTCTTTTGAGGCAAACAACCACAGGATTTAGCTTGTTATTGAACGCATCGAAAATACTCTCTACTAAAAACTATTGGTTTAATACCCAGTGTTATAGTACTATAAAAGTCTTTTCAAAATGGAACATATATATTTTTTCCCGCTTTACAGCTTGGATCGTTCTTGCTAATACATTTGGCATGCCGACTATCCAAAATTCTGTCCAAATCGATTGGTCACGAGATCAAAATCGGGCACTCTAAACTTCACCTTTTGACATTTACATTTGACTACCTTCTGCCTTCCACCCAGTAAAGAAGGTTATACGTATCTTATTTCTACATTAGATCTCTGGACTACCTAGACAGCGACGGTACTTCAAGTGGAGTTTGGTCCACGAAGAGGTGTGGTGATGTCATGGTATGCGTCGCCGGAAAGTATGGGGTTGTGCATGTAAATGTAAGCATTCAGAGCTGTTGCCACAGTCAACCTGGCACACAAGGCAAACGATACTTTCTGTAAAACTGTTCGTAATAGCAATGTTCGAGAGTAGACACAAGACAGAACGGCTGAGAAGTACGACACCACAGGCGAGTCAAAAAATACTTACCAGAGAATGTACGGAATGAGCAAATACGCAGCTACATGATTTACGTGGAAGAACATGTAGATGGTGCCAGCTACTGCCAGCCACAGAACTACGATCTCACCCAGAGAAATATCCTGCATCGCGGTGTATACAAGTTATCTCTCCATAAATGCGAGAGCCAGTACAGCTTTATCCGATAATCAAGGCCGGACTAGACTTATGTGCATATTGCACATAAAGTTAAGTACTCAGATCGCCTGCTTCAGTGTGATAATCACTCACTAGTTGAGACAACACCCTTACTTAGATGTGTATGAAAAAAATAATTCGTATACAATCGGGGACATCAGGGCCGGACACGTGACCTTCCCATTGAGAATGCAAAATACGGTAGAAAAGCAGAGGCCTTACAGACTGAATAATCTTGAAAGATGCACGTTGAGAAACTTACAGGGCGGTGTAGTCCAAAGAAGAGCGGAGTCCACGCTAAGTTGAGCACCAACTGTAAGGCAAGTACGACAATTGAAATCATTTATAACTCACAGGTTTCCAAAATTGCAAAAGCGTTCAATTCAACAAGTATGTAATATGCTATACACAATTGAATTGAGAGTTGTACTTGCGCCTTGACTGAAACTGGGACATCTATGTTTATTGGAGACATCCTTCCCTACCTGTAGGGCGTACACGGCTAAAGGGTATGCCTGGACGCGGAAACCTGTATACAAGATAGTAACACACACGGTGAGAATTCACTTACAGAAGACTATTGTCATGTACATTGCTTGATATTTCCGCAAAACATTTGCACATGAATTTTACCCGCCGAATCACAAATTATGACCTTACCTCCTTCTTTCCATATCAAATATGACGCAATTCCCATAAGGATGTATAGCGTTGTCCACATAATCGGGAAAACGTAACCCTGTATCATTGATCAAATCAACTCCATAAAGTCAAGCTACTGCTGCAAATCCAGTATCTACTAGAAAGGATTACTGATCAAACGACGATGAACCAAATCAGTTCACAACAGTGAGGTATGGAGAAAATTCACCATGGAGCTGACTGTATAAAAGTTGAGAGAAAAAACACTGATAAGAAAGGTTATGAAAACATATGTACAACGAACTTACCGGTGGTGTCCATGAGGGCTTGTCCAGAGACTTATACCAGTCTGCAAAAGTAAAATACTACTGTCAGACCAAGAATAATATTCCGCTACTACCGATGATACAATAGCACGCATCTCTCAATATCTCCCTGACTACTTTACCCAAGGAAACCGATTCATCATATATTCTTGCAGAAGAGCAGGATTGCGTAACTCAGCGACGCCTGTGAACACAACAGGCTATGCAAATTGTGCGACTTCCGAGTCTACACAGCTTTTCAACTTACCACTTTCACCACCACCACCACCAAAGGTAGAACCAAGGAACCCTAGTCCAACCGGAATAGCAATGGCCACAATTAGCATCGCGATGGCGTAAAAATTCCACTGCAAAAACATTTGTATCGGTCAGTCTATACCCAGATTGACCAAGTACTGGGCGACGAGCGTCACAATGACCGGCGTCGTTGACATCCTGATAATTCCATGCTGACAGAAATATACCACACTTTTCTTCTCGAAGGCCAGAGACACAAACGTGTCAGATTCGATTCTTGGTAAGAGAACAAAGCGCATACAAAGAGCAGCATCAACAGCAAAACATTCCCAGACTACGCCCAGCTATCTGAGAGAGTCCACTGTTACTCCAAGAACGACATGCAGAAGAGAATGGGCCACAGGCAAGGCAAAACAATGAAACCTCTACTCCACAATCTGTATGTCAGAACAACGGCATTCAGTCACCTTCTCCCGCTCGGTGAGCAGCGTACGCCTATCGACACCTTCAAGAGAAGCCATTTTGCCAAACCAAACCAGCGACGGCAACGAAAATGCGCAATCACGAGAGGAGAGAATGAAAGGGAAACTGGTTGTTCAGACAGAACACTGCTCCTCCGCAATTTCACGACATATCTATCGCACACAACACGGCTCCTGATCAGCCAAAGTACGTACCATCTTGCCGGCCCGGTGGAGTTCGACGCAAGCCAAAGACTGTGTCCTCACAAATCTAATCCCCCGCCTCTCGCTCACTCACTCAATTCCCCTCCCTCGCAGCACCGAATCGTCTAGAAAGATATCACTGACGCAACGATGGAGCACACCACTTGGCTCGTCGGCTTCGAGGCGGAAGGCGGGCGCTCTGAGCGACGCCCAAGGTAGTAGTAGGTACTTACTTCTGCCTGCAGATTGACGGGTCAACTTCGTGTCATCCTCATGGCAAATCCGACGCGCCAGGCGGGCTGGATGATTTGGCATGCTGGCCTTCGCCGCTGGAACCGTACGACGTACGCCCGGGGCGGTGTCTCGCGGTGTAACCATGGCCGCTGTGCAGTCGATTGCCCACTGTACTGTACTGTACTGTGCAGTCGATCGCCCGCAACTGCGTCCGCAAAGCCGCCCGTGGTGGTGGTGGAGCCCTGGCTGTCTAAACCTGGTGGCCATCATGATCGTGGCCATGCAGCGGGCGTCCGTCATTAGTCCAGTTCCGCTGTCTTCAACGTGGGACATTACGCTTCATTTGTCATGGACCGCACCTCCACTGCTTGCCCAGTCAAAAAAACCCAGAAAAGGAAATATCGCATGACTGTAGAGGGGCCCAGTGGATAGCGCGAAAACTCATCGCATGACTGTAGACGCCGGGTATATGAAACCGGAGATGATGTGTGGTCGTCCTGCATGCGCGCCATGTATGTGATGCAACTCAGCTTGGGCCTCCGGTTTCCTTTTTCTTCTTCACTTCTTTTCATACGTAGCACTAAACGGCCTTCGGAGAATTCCGTGCAACCGAATGTATCAGATATAGAATTGTTTATTTCTTTTCCTTGCAATATTGTATCAATATGGACTGACGCGTCATCTTCCATTTGAATTATTTCCATTTCTTTACAAATTTTATTTTCAGATTACATATAATATTTTATGAATATGTATTAATTAATTATATTTTACTATATTTTTATGGTTGGATACATCGTTCATGATAAGTGACAATTAAATGAAGGATTTATCCTTTATCTGGATATTTTATGCTAAAGACAAGCTTCTTCTTGTCATCCTTAGTATAAGAAATGAACCCGAAAGCGGATTCCTTGGAAACGCAATCGACAACCGACAAGAGTTAATTCTAACAAAGATTTGGTACATAGCTCATCTGCATGGTGATTTCTACTTTTTATGTATCAAGAAACAAAAGATCAATGTGCCATTAGAATCAACTATTTCCTCAATGGACCACAATGTTTGTGGTCCATTGAGAAAATCTTTGACAAAACAAGTACCTTCTAAAATACATAAATAGCTGATTGGTGTAGATTTGAATTCCATGGTGAGTTGCTTTGACTCCAGAGAACCAATCTGAGTAGAATCTAATCTGATTTGTGACTTTTGTGTCTTATATATATTTCTTTAATTATACTTCAATAATATTTAATACCTAGTTAGTTGAAATATTTTCAAAATACAAAATATTACATGTTAATGCAAAAAAAATAAACACATTTTTATGTAATTAATATATATAAACTTGAAAATAATATTCATATCAATATTGAATTATATTTTAAATAAAAAATATTTTAAAAAAATCTACAACATGAAATTTTGAGTATAATCAGATAATAACATCAAAATATTCAGATTGTAGTGATATTTTAAGGAGTAAAAAATTTCTAAGAGTCATAACAATCGTTTAAAAAATAATTTTTATATTTGATTATGAGATTATTTTATTTACATTAGGTCAGTTTTATTTTCTGCTGCTCATGATCAAGTAGAGTACTCAAAGGCGAATCATTCACTTCTTGCGTCAAATTTTTATATGATATTGTTGTGATTTCTGACTAACAGATGGTATTAAAGCAATCAGAAACAAGCATTTGTATGATGACTATGTTATTGTTAAAGGAAATGGAACCCTTAGCCGAAGCCTAATCAAGGAATGAGCATTCAATTTGATGGACTAATTGCGTTTGGTTGCGTTCTTGTGTTGGACAATTTTTAAAGTCATTAAGTGTAGAAGCCTATGACTTGCATGTACTTGTGTAGCTTCATTTCACCCTTGTAACTTAGTATCCAATGCTAACACAAATGTCACACACATCATTTTATCCAATGATCCAATTTACAAGTATTTAAAAATATTCTTCCTAATGAACTAACTACACGTCCTTTACACAAACACAAATTGCTCGCTCTACTAGTTTGCATCAACATGACTTCTTACCTGCAATCAGGTAAAGTTGACATTAGACTCACCCAAACTCTCCACTAGCAACCTCACCAACCTGTATCAATTATGTCCGCTTTAAACTTCCATTCTTGTGTGTTGCATGATCAGAATTCATACTCTCCTTACGGCATACGAGCCGCCAATCTTGTGCAAACAAAGTTAGGAGTTAAGGTGTTCTCGCTTATCTCTCTCTTTCTCAGGATCTTTGTGTTGTAAGGCTTGGACTCCATTCACTACATGTTCTTGTTTCTTCTATCATCATCTCTATTAATGTTTCTTCCCTTGTTAATCATCCGAAGTTAACAGGTTTCACAATGCTATGCATGCGGAGAGACTTGACGTTGAGAAGCTATGTGACAATAACCATCAAATACTCATTGCATGATGTCACTGTCTTCATAAAATCGCATCCATTCTAGTCAAATATCTTGATCTGATTCATCTCTACCGCATTTGACATTGCTTCTTCTTCCCTAATCCAACTTTACATCCCTAGCCAAACGCAGTATGAAGGTCATCCTTATTGATAGAGATAATTTTGGTTTGTTGAGCATAAACTACACTGCCCTTAATGTTATACTCTATAATGATATCTTACACACAAAAAACTCGTTAAGTTTCAAAAACCCTTGATCATGCATTCCAAGGTTAAAATAAAATTTGATCACGGAGGCCTCTTTGAGTAAAGGGACTTTGCTTGATTTCAATTTTGATGTACCAGTAAGGAAATCTAAACCTACTTCAATTTGAAGTAAGGAATTGACCATAAACAACATCCATCCTACTCCAAAGATTTGGATACAAAAAGCATCTCCACTTGCATACTTTTTCAAAGGAGTGGAACCAAAATCTTGGCTTGATTCTCAACTTGGACATTAGCCTTAAGTGTATGATATGGAAACTCCAACAACAATGACTGTGTAACAATTGATTGGTTGTTGTTGCTTATTGTCAAGATTAGATCTTGGCAATGTAAGGTAATCTTTTAGGGTTACCTTGTAAAGCGGTAAAAGGTAAAGGTAAAAGTTAGAAGGAGGGCCATAGGTAAGGTAATGAGTAAGGTAAACAGTCAAAGCGTGAAACCAGGCTCGTCAAAGTGTGAAGCAAATTGCCGAAGCAAAATGAAACAAGTCAAAGCGTCGAAGCGTGAAACTAGTAATCCGTAAACCCTAAATTATGAGTAAATGAGTAAATTATCCTATAGCCCCGCCTTTACCTCTACCTTTTACCAATTTATCGGGTAACCCTAAAAGATTACCCAGTAAAGTTAACCTTTTAACTTGTAAGAATGTGTACTGGGTAATCAAGTAAATTACCCTTAGATAAAGGTAGAGGTAAAGGTAGATAGTAGTGATGCGGGTAAGGTAAAAGGTAAGCTAAAGGTAAAGGCCCATGCATTACATGGTAACCTTTTATCTTACCTTGCCGAGGCCTAATCAAAATCTAATGTACAACGTCAAAAATAATACCCGCATCTTCAAAATTATATGGGCATGTGAATCTGTGTTATGCTCTTTCGTATAAATTAGTAGCTTCATTGTGGTAAGTTTTAATCGCCAGAAAATCCCCACCTTCACCAAATATTCCTCCGAATCCGCCATATCTGCCAGATCCAATCTAGTGGGAGTACGCACTACCATAAACCAAAAAACCTCCACCTCGGGTGTTGCTACCACCGCCCTAAAGGCACCACGCTACTTATCCAGTCTAGTGGGAGTACGCACTACTATAATCCAAGACATCTCAACCTCGGACATTGCTTCCACCACCCTAAAGGCACCACGCTTCAAGAGAGGAATTAATATTCTGATATGATGAACCTCTCATGCTTTGTTGTAGCAAAAAATCAAATAGCAAAAATATACATTCATACGAAAGAACCGTGTTTGTGTTTATCCTCTACACTAGACAACAACAGTGCGTTACTTTTAAGTTCTAAACTTGACATGAGGTATGAAAATGTAACATTAGAGTCTAAACTAGATTTTTTTTTGGTAAAGATTACTTCATATGCGTGTGATAATTTGCATCAAAGCTATTCTTGCAACACGGATATCATCAACAATCTAAACGAGTTCATCTGTTTCCAATGCTCATCTCGGTAATTGTTTGATGCAATACTTTAAAGTCCTAAACCTAACATGGAGGATGAAAATGTGTCACTAGAATCTAAACAAGACTGTGTTTTGTAAAGATTACTTCATATGCGTGTTGTAATTTGTATCAAAGCTTCTCATGCAACACGTATATCATCAACAATCTAGACAAGTTCATCGGTTTTGAGAGCGAATCTCGGTAGCTAGTTTTTGGCAAATATACACATATTAGCACGATTATCTTTATACATGTCTGCGATGATGCTACGACTCCTTCCAAGCAGAAGGAAGCCAATTTGATTGAAAGGATCAAACAATCTTGTAGTGATGATACCATCTTGATCAAAATCCAAATCCATTATCTTGCTATGTACTTGTGAGCATGTTTCCTATGCAGAGAGATGTTGTCGTTGGGATGCTTATTAATAGAAAGAATCATAACAAGCTCATCTAAGCCTAGAATTGGATTGGCAACTTTGATACATGCACAAATGTACTTTCAACAATTGTTGTTTATACCCCTCTTTTACCAATAACGCTCCAAATTTTTTTGGTATGACAAAAGATGCAAAAATCCAATTTTTTGTCCAATAGAGTATAGCAATCTAGGTGTGAGACACCAGATTCTAGAAGCACTAGTAAAGGTTGAGAGTTGAAAGTAAACCTTCATCATTGACTCCGTTATTCAATCCAAAAAATGATGCTTCTATTGCTAGAAGGGATCCACCTTAACCAACTAGTGTGTTTCTTAACGGAGAAAGGTGTTATCAACTAATATTTGTGGTACCCCACTTTTGGTAATTTTGAGGAAATTAAAACATTGTTGGAAAAACTGTACCCT